GTTGTGCACTCTAAAAAAAAAGAAAAGAAAATTAAAATATAATATAATTATAAAATAGTAAACGCAATTAAAAAACGTAGATAAAGGAGACTTATTTAGAAACTTATTTAAAGACTTATTTAGTTGTTATTCTAACTAACGGATTTCGATACAATGAGCTGCATATCGATACTAGATTATATCGTTATATATTAAATATCGATATTCGAATTATCGATACTGTATCGCCATCCACTACACAGAACCGAGTCATTGAAAAATCTATCAATAGACTTCCGGTAAATAAAATGTCAACATTCGCAAGCGTTTAAAAAGCTGCAGAGAAATGGCCTGTATAAGGTGATGCAAAGCATGTCATTGGAAAAGACAGCGGATCGATTGCCCGCACGTAATGAAAAGCAGAACATTTCGTTTCGGAGAAAAAAGAAAAAAGGAAAATGGCAGTGTTCACGGAGTTGGCCGGCAATTTCGCACTCTCGTGTCGGGGCGACGCAACGTCGCGCCGCGCGGGAAGAAAATCGAAAGCGGGACGCAACGAGCCGTGTCAGAGCGGCGGCCGAGTGGAGGGACGCGTGCAGCTCCGTGAATCCGGAAGTTGCGCGGCGTAGGTGGTACCCCAAGGAGAGGGGCTACCTCTGTATAATAATTAATAACCGGCCGCTGAGTGGTTCGCGCAGACCCCGCCCTTTACCCCCTGATTTATGAACCGCACCGCCTTCCCTGTCATAACCGAGAGCGTAGAAGCTCCGCTGTGGTGGGGTTGGCCACGGTGGAGGGGATGGAGCGAACAGTGGTGGGAGAAGGGTAATGCGTGACGTCGCACGACACTACCTACGCCCAGGCCGGCTCTTTACCAAGCGATCAGTCGGTTCTCGTCCTTTGCCGGATGTCACCGGTCGACACGCGGACGTCCGGTCGAAACCAGACGCAACGCAGCCAAACCGAGCGGAACCAAGCGAAGCGCAGCAAAGTGCAGCGCAGCTTTGACGCGTCGCCGCGGGTCGGCGCCACGGGCCGGCTGCATCCGTGAACCACCAGTGGAGAACATGCAGCTCATGAGATGGAGCATCACGCGTCGTCTCGAATCCCGCGGCATCAAGCAAAGCACCTGCAGGCAATCCAGGCTCTCGTGTCCCCGATCTTCCGGTATAATTCAACCTTGAACGCCGCGGCCACGCACCAGCGAGTCCCGCGTCGTCGCCTTGCCCGAGGGATGGGAACCCTTTCGGGGAGTTCTCGCGTCGATTGGACGTCGGGTCGCTTTCGTGAACCGTTTTAATTATTGGTGCTATCCGAACGGACCCGGGCAACACGCTGGGAATAGTAATCGCGCGATTTTCATTTTTCACCGGTCCCCGTGTGCTCGTTAAAAGTTTCCAGTGGTACGGGTCTCGCGCGCCGCGCCGCGGAATACTAATCGTTCCAGCCACTGTTCCTTATCATTGACACGATTATGACACGGTTCCCGTCAAGGTCTTTCTTGCTGGTTCTGTCGCATGCTGGTTCGCTTCGGTGCTGGTGGTTGTTCGTTTTCGCCGGCGTTTTCGTTTCCATGGTCCCCGTTGCTCCGATCCCGCAATCGGGATCGGACCGTCGCTTCGCGTCGGCGTTCGCCGAGTCCGCGTTGGTTTCCCGCCAGAATCGCCAAGTTTATGCTCCTCCACGGCCTCGGCGAAAGAGGTTTAATCGCGAAGCGAAACCTTACGAACTTTCGATCGCTTCTCCGTTCTGCGTCGAGCCGGTTCTTGGATAACGTTATCTTTGAAACTTAATCTTAGACTTTCAGTCTAAGTCGCGAACTCCTTGGATCGTTAATGCCTCTGTTGACGGCCCTCCGGCGAATATCTCTCGCCTTCGGTGGAAACTCTTGGGTTTTCTTCGAAGAAAAACAAGTCCTTCCCCGCCGGAAGTGGTACCAGTTCTGAAGTCTGACCATATCTGAAGCTATTTATCAACCGAGAATTGTGCAATCGACGTCCACGTAATTATGGGGCATCGAGGAAGCTAATGTATGACTTTTATAGAACAGATCGGAATCGTTCTGTTTTCCTGGAACCGGATGCAAAATTACATTGTTCATAAGGTCGCTACAGTAAATATCGTTGACGAAAGAAGATCGTGTGCAGGATATAGAATTAGTTTAGTTGTCCTCTTAACGTTTGTTAGCATTCGATGGTTTTGCTAATGATGCCCGAAACGGTCTGTTGCAGGAGAAGAAAATGACTTTACATCGGATGGCGAAGAGAGCGGTGGTCCGGGAGGCGGAGGAGACGAAGCTGTGGATCTCACTGCAGCCCGATCTCATCAGGGCGATGAAGACGATAAGGACCAGGACGACGCTCTGGAGGAGGACGAAGAGGAAGGCGTGGACGAGCAGGACGAGCAGGACGACGACGAAGAAGGGTCGCGCAAACAAATGCACCATCGTCAAGACGCGGAGAACAACAACAATTTCGTGGAGAGCGGCGCGGCTGCTGGCCTGTTTCCACCAGCTGGAACTAGTCATGTCACCTTGGAAGCCCTGCAGAACACAAAAGTGGCGGTCGCTCAGTTCGCAGCGACAGCCCTCGCCGGTGGCGCCGACAGCGAGGCGGCCCTGCAAGATTTGGCGTTGCTGCAGAGCACCTTGTACACCCTGCAGCATCAGCAGGTGTTCCAGTTACAGTTAATCAGCCAACTTCAGCAACAACTGTCCATCACGCACAGCCAGTCGGCGCAACAACAAACCGTGGGTGAGCCGTCGGATAACAAAGAAGTATCTCCGTCTCCCATAATCCAACCGAAACCCATCTCGAGTTTAACGTCGCCTCCGTCGTCGCGTCCGCCGAGCCATCAGCAAACGTCGCCGGCTCCCATGACACCGAATCTGTCCCAGGAACGGCCGACTCCAGCAAGCAGTGCTTCTCCTTTGAATCTACCGTTACCTTCGTCGAACGCCGCCGGTACCACGGCTACTACGAGTAGCAGCCAGGTGCCGATGTCTCATCAAATGCCACCCCTCTGTTCCATCAGTTCTTCCCTCGCTTCGTCTATAATAACGAACACCGATCCACCGCCGTTGCACGAGCCGAACACGCTGGAGATGCTGCAGAAGAGAGCTCAGGAAGTGCTCGACAACGCCAGTCAGGGATTGCTGGCCAACAACTTGGCCGACGAACTCGCGTTCAGGGGTGGGAAAGGCTCCCGTCCCTCTCCGTACGACTCAAAGTCTGGTAGCGGTCGCGGGGAGCCGTTCTTCAAGCATCGGTGCCGCTACTGCGGCAAGGTGTTCGGCAGCGATTCAGCGCTTCAGATCCACATACGATCGCACACAGGTGAGCGACCCTTTAAATGCAACGTCTGCGGCAGCCGCTTCACCACGAAAGGGAACTTGAAGGTCCACTTCCAAAGGCATACGGCCAAGTTTCCACATGTTAAGATGAACCCGAATCCCGTTCCGGAACACCTGGACAAGTACCATCCACCCCTGCTACAGCAGATCGCCTCCGGTCAGAGACCAATGCCGTCCCCGCCGCCGCCGCCACCTTCTCATCATCCCTCTTTTCACCCGGCGGCGGCACATGGTTTTTTACCTCCTCAGCCGCCCCTGCCACTCAGTTTAGCCCTGCCCGGTATGCCGCCCTTGTACAGATCACCGGTCGTCGCTCATCGAGACGATCAGGACGTACCGGAGAACTTGAGTAAACCCATAACCACTGCCCCCACCACGTCTCCACATTCCCCCGCGATTGTGTCGAACTCTCGTCATTCCTTTCACGACAATCACCAACAACAAAAGCAGCAGCTCGAGCAGAGGGACGAGATCAAGCTCGAGCAGCGATCGCCTATGCAAGAGCAGTATCAACAGCGGCCGACGAGTCGAGAGGCTTCCGAGAGGATAACTCCGAAGAAAGAGCCGGAGGAGACCGAGGAGCCGACGGAAGAGGAGAGCGAGGACTTCGAAGAGGCGTCCAGACGGTACTTGAACTCGCCCCAATCCTCCGTGAATCCGCTCTCGCATCCGCAAACGTACGAGGACTGCAGCATGGACAGCAAGATCAGCGGACGATTGGAAGCGGACGGTGACATGGAGGTCGACGAAGAGATCGAGGAACAGCCCGAGAATTTGTCCGGTCGAGGAGCCATGAACCGTTTACCGCAACAGATCGTTGCTTATCCCGGAGCATCGCCTGCTAGCAGTAGCGCGAGCAGCGGGAGCCTTCAGACATCGTTCGCGGGGATTCTTTTCCCGGGGCCGCCGGTGCATCATCAAATACCCCATCATGCTGCGACAGCCGCCGCGAACACGCCGGTGGTTCCCACCAACGAGATGATCGATCCGGCCAAGGATCCGGCCATCTACTCGAGCCTTCTGCCTCGACCGGGCAGTAACGACAACTCCTGGGAAAGTTTGATCGAGATAACGAAGACCTCGGAGACGTCCAAGTTGCAACAGTTAGTCGACAACATCGAGCACAAGCTGACCGATCCGAACCAATGCGTGATCTGCCACAGAGTGTTGTCGTGCAAGAGCGCGCTGCAGATGCACTACAGGACCCACACCGGGGAACGGCCGTTCAAATGCAAAATCTGCGGTCGCGCGTTCACTACCAAGGGCAACCTGAAGACGCATATGGGCGTGCACAGGGCGAAACCGCCACTCCGAGTGTTGCACCAGTGTCCCGTCTGTCACAAGAAATTCACGAACGCGCTGGTCCTGCAGCAGCACATACGTCTGCACACCGGCGAGCCGACGGAGCTCAGCCCGGAGCAGATCCAGGCCGGCGAGGTGAACGAGTTTCCACCGGGCTATCCTCACCATCCGTTGGCGTCGTTCCTCCCGCAGGGCTTTCCTCCGATTCACCCCGTGGGGCCGGGCTTTCCTCTAGGTTTCCCACCGAAATTGGAACTGAAGGACGAAGTCCAGCAGCAACAACACCAACACCACCACCAACAGCAGCAGCAACAGCAACAGCAGAGGTATACGGAGGATCACAGCGAGGAGGCGGACGACCAAGAGGACGAGGAGGAAGACCGTAGAGAGGACGACGAACGGTGCGACGTGAATCGCGACGGCCGATGCGAGCCGGAGGACGAGCAGGATCGCGAAAGCGAAGAGAACGAGCACAAAGAGCTCTCTTTGCCGAGCTTCTCGACGTCCCTCGCGGCTCTCGAGAACCAGGTGCGGACCATTACCACGATAGCGACCTCGACCACGGGGAACGTGGCCAGGTCGCCACCTTTTCACCGATACAACGGTAGCGAGAAAAGCAGCAGCCCTCCGAACTCCGGCGCGCCCCTGGACCTGACGCCTCGTGCATCCTCAACGCCGGCCACCGTGGCCTCGATACCAACGCCGCCACCGCCCCCGCCGCCTCAGACGCACCATCCACACCCCTTCGGCATGTTCGCAGGCCTCCTGCAGGCGGTCTCCTCGTCGCCGTCCACCAGCAGCATAGGATCCTCGAGCATAAATAGTATCAGTTCGATGAACGCCGTCACTCCCGGATCCGGCGCCGCTGGACCTCTGGCCTCGCTTACCACGTCAGCCGTTCTGGCTGCCACATCCACCTACAACCCGCTCGGCCTAGCTGTCGGAGGGCCAGCAGGTAGGCGCTGCTAGCATCAGGGCGAGCTGCAGTTCCTGCTACACCTCCCGATCGATCTGACACGATTCACTGATCCTGACCGAAAGACTGACTGATTCGTCCACCTTATCCAAGCTGTACTATCGACATCCTGTTTGTGGTGTAGCCGGACCTAGCACTCCTACCCTTCCGCTTAACTTTGTTATTGTCTCTTTGTACACCTTTTCGATATCTCTCTTTCTCTGTCTTTCTATCTATTTGTCTCTATGTCTCTAACTTGCTCTCTCTCTCTTTTTCTTTCTCTTTGTTTATCTATATATATATATATCTCTATATATATCTCTGTCATTGCCTCTCTCTCTGTCTCTCTTGTTCTATCGCTCCATGTTCGAGTCACTTTGTGTTCTTGCCTGGAAATATGAAATACATCCAGCGTTTGCGACTACAAATCAGTTTTGTATTTATCCTTTTTTTGCATAAAAGAAAGTCGGTACTGTGGATACATGGTGAATAAATAAATCTTTATACAAAATTTATTGTTGCATTCACAATTCATTTCACTCCTTCCGTCGTACGGTCATGAAACGAGATCACACAGAGGCACTTTTCCAAGCTGTACGTAGCTTCACGGATGACGAACGAAGTCGATTCATATGCTCAATATTCACGTCACGACATTTACATTACGTCTCTCTGTTGGTTTCGGTCGTTCTGCATTCGAAATTATAGTCCACTTTCTCGCGCTCGATACGGTTTTAATCGGCGATTAAATCGCGGTTATAAATTGTTTTCATGAACACAGAACGTCGTGGAAGTGTCGAGAAGCAATTGTAAAGGGCTACGATCTGTTACAGTGCGTGGAAACACCACATGTAATATCTGCTACAAGACATTTGCGTGCAACTCCGCGCTGGAGATTCATTACCGGAGCCACACGAAGGAGCGACCTTTCAAATGCACCATATGCGACCGAGGCTTTTCCACGAAGGTAATGGATTTTCTTATATCAGTTTATTAGGTGCACCGATGAGAAGTTCGTTCAATTTCCTCCCCGATCTATACCGATGACGATAACTAGACTGCGGATCTTCATGCAAAATAAACATTTCCACATCCTCTCGTATATAAAGCAGAAATTTTTGATAAACGTGTATTCCTTCTTTCAACGACGTTAATACACAGTGAAAGTAATGCCGTAGTATTTTCGCATAATTCTCTTGCCTTTGCTATTCTGTGTTTTATTTAAACACTTTTACTACAAATGCATAAAATCCGCAGTTATTATTAAGAACGTAGCGTAAGAAACGTCGACGAGCACAAACATCGGTACACCTAATAATTTGATACACAAAAATGAAAATATTCGCTCCGCGTATTTGTTGTGCAAAATTGTGTTCGCGTTAAAGTGCCCATAATCTGTAAAAATGATTAGCAAATCAATCAGAGAGTAACTCTAAAAGCAGACATCGATCAAACCTACGTTTCGTATTTCGATAAGTGGTTTTTATTCAGTTTTGTGTCTCCGCGATTACGTCAGGCCGGATTATCATCGATCGATTTCAATTCTTGAAACAGTAAGCACACGAACAGTATCTACTTTTAATGGGAACGATCCATTAGACCGTCGAGACACAGTCTATCGTTGTATCTCTGTTAGGTAATCGTCAAAATTTGCTTCGTTTGATTATTGAAATTCATGTTCGAGGAAAAGCACGTACCGAAGACAATTTGAACAGACATATCGGGGAGAACTCTTGCAAATTCATCGGGACGATGCAAAAGTAAATGCACGAAGATCGATAAATCGCATTTTTGTTTGATTCAAAATCCGAAACCACACTGGCCACGCCCAAAGCCTAATCCGAAACAGGTTCGGTCATCTCTCTCTATCTTTGTTTTTCTACGATACTTTCAGAACGACGGTTCCGGTCAGCAAACTTGCAACTGTACATCTCAACCGTTGCCCGATAGTAGTTCGATCACTTCACCCGATTCCCAATATCAAACATCGTGCGCCAGTAATCGAGAGAAACCGAAACGCAGGCGGCGGCGGCCTGAGGAACGGAAGAACCGGGGGCGGAGAGGAGCCGGAGGGGGGCGGGGGCTGACACCTGTCTTTCCTGCCGTCCGCCTACCCTCGCTGATGACACCCGCCGCCCTCGGACTTCTACCCTCGGCCCACAGCCTCCTGGTAAGAGCCTGCTCAGTTTTGAGAACGAAACAAAAGCAATGATAACACCACTGTGTATTTTCGAAAGATTCAATTCTGCTTCGCAACCACACGACTCGATGCAATCGGAATAATCGTTTCAAGAATTTCTATACTGTGTTCGCTGGCGGTCCGTGCCTAGGGATCGAGTAACATCCTCCACTTAACCCATCAATTGCAACAAAATTAACATTCTTCCGCCAACGGAACGGCGAACCCATGAAATTCCAAACTCGAAACGTTCCGATAAGGTTCACGCCGTTCTTTCGTGCGTTTCTCTCGATATTCCTCTCTCTCTCTTTTTTTTGTATTACTTTCGCAGTTCACCGTGTTCCTTCTTCCCTTTCCCGTTTGCTTGCACACGCCACACACCTGCAACGATAGTTGCATTCGTAGACTCAACGTGATAGAATCGCCGTCGAGCGATCGCCGTCAGGTGTGATCAATCGTTTTGAGACATCTGAAATTATGCAGAGTGGTGTAATCGGACAGAGCGGTTGAATGAAGCGCGAGCGTGTCCCGGCCGCAGAAGGTCTAACGACGTCTGGTCTTTTGGTTCGCAGGGGAACATGAAGCAACACATGCTAACACACAAAATACGCGACATGCCGCCTCATCTGTTCAGCGACTCGAAGCAGCAGCTACAGCAACAGTCTCAGGAGCACGAGACCTCGAGGAGTCCGATGTGCGCCGACGACACGAGCCTGCCGCCGCCGCCGCCGCCGCCACCGCCGCCTCCTCCGCCGATGCCGACAACGTCGATAGAGCAGACCATTTCGGTGAAGAGATCGCCGTCCGAGGGGGACCTGCCAGCACCAAAGAGACCAGCCAGTAAGTAGGGTCGCCACACGTTGAAAAACCAATTCGCTTCTTCATCGAGCACAATTCGTCCAGCCCAAGGCTTGGCTTGGCAGACTTCATTCTTCCGCTAACAGATCACGTTCCAGCATCTAGAGAGCCACGAGGGTATCTTGACGGGCTTCTTCGCTTATTTGCACGCTTTGTACTTCCCGTATTACACACTGGCTATTCTCTTTTGTTATTTTGTTGTTTCTTCACGCACTCCTGGTGGTGGCAGAATTACCTGGATCTATTTTTCGTCTTTCGTCTCCCGTCTATCTGCTTCCCGTTTGCAGATGTCGAGCTTCGATTAGGCGACCGCCTCCTCGGTTTCGGGTCGCGGGAGTACGCTCGGCGAGAGCAAGCTTTTCAGCCCCGTGAAACTTGTGTCAGGGCCTGTTTAGAGAAACTGTGTGTGTGTATTTGCAGGCGTGCCGAGCAAACACTTGTGCCAGATTTGCAATAAGAATTTCTCCTCATCTTCGGCGCTCCAGATCCATATGAGAACTCACACTGGCGACAAACCGTTCCGATGCACCGTCTGCCAGAAGGCCTTCACCACCAAGGGCAATCTCAAGGTATACATACAATTTTCCCTTCTCTCTACTTCTCTTTCTCTCTTTCTCTCTTTCTTTCTGTTCCTTCCTCTCTCTCTCTCTCTCTTTCTGTTCCTTCCTCTCTATCTCTCTCAGTTCCTCTCTCTCTCTCTCTCTCTCTCTCCCTCTCTCTCTCTTTCTTTGTATTTATCTACATCTTCGTGTGACTCTCTCCCTGTTCTTTCTCTCTACTTATCATACCCTTCGTGTGTTTTCGGAGTCTTCGAGTTTCTTCACTAACATTAGCTAGCTAGGCTGCTACCGCTTGTACTAACGCTGACGCGTAACGTACAAATATTGCAAGCTCGATGAAAGACACACGCGCCCGTCAAACTCCAACAACCAAACCGACGTCCCCGTGATTTCTGATCGTAGGTGCACATGGGCACGCATATGTGGACCAACGGAGCCTCTCGACGAGGCCGTCGAATGTCGCTGGATCTGCCTCCCCTACCCATCACGCCCAAGGACTCGGAGTTTCTTCAGCGGCGACCGGATCTCTTCTACCCGTATTTACCCGCGCCGTTCCTTAACGGCGTGCAGCAGAAAGTAAGTCGATTCGGCAGTGCTATGTACGTACTAGTTAGAGGGTTACTCCCATTTGTAGGGGTTTGTATCTAAACTTGCGCGCATCGATTCGACGAAATAAGAAAGCTGGACACTCCTGGCGAAAAGTATTCGATAGAACATACCCAACGCGATCACTATAGGCGACTTGCAAATTGTTTTCAGTCATGGTAAAGACAGATTCAATGTTTAAATTTAGCATATGCGAAGAAAATACAAGTGAAAGTGATTCGGTATGTATCCGTTTGTAACGATTGTTAGGACGCAACTGATAATATCACGCATTTATACAGGCTGTCCCAAAATTATTGTACAAGCGGGAAATGAGGAATTCGTGAAGTCATTTGAAGTAACATTTTCCTTAGCGAAAATGCAATCCGCGACTTCGTTTACGTCTCATTAACGAAAAACAGTGACCAATGAGAGGCGAGATCGGCTGGCGCGAGGCGGACGAGCCAGATACGTAAACGAAGCCGCGGATTGCATTTTCGCTAAGGAAAAAATTACTTTAAATGACGTTAGAAAAACCCCTCGTTTCTTTCTTGTACAATAATTTCGGGGTACCCTGTATATATGTACCATCTATCTTTTGAGTCTTCACCCTCGAGAATGGGCATCCATTCGACTCCTATTAGGACTCCTCAGGAACCCCTCATTTGCCGCTTGTACAATAATTTTGTAACTGATCAAAGAGTGTCTCGATAAACAGTGAATCTGTATCTTTCGAATTCTCAACGATGCAATTTAAACTCAATTCTAAACTCATCCAAAGTGACGTCTACAAATGGGAATACCTCTTTAAAGTGAAAAGAATCTTCGTCCATTAACTGACACAAATCCACAAAACGTATTTCAATTTCAATGCGTACCCGGATAAAACAGTTGTGAAAGTCACTCTTTGATACTTCTCCTACAGTTTTATAAAAATTAGAATTAATCTTTCTCACTACTCGAAAACTGAAATCATTTGATCGAACTGTAACTCACTGTGACCGTAGAGCAGCCTTGAAACTAACCCTTTCAGTGCTGACAAAAATTTAATAAAAATCAGTAGAAGAAGTATATACATATTTATCGTTACACTTTTCGTACTTTACGTTATAGTCACGTTACAAACCATACAAAAGATCACGGTGAATGAAACAAATTAAACAATGTGGTGATTCGAACATTAAAAGGGTTAAGCATCATAAGAAAAGCATCGCGTCGTCACGTTCGTCACGGTTAACGATGATTCTCTCTTCGATTTTTGTAGGTAATTGCCCCAGAATAAAGCTAACCAGTCGGCGTGCATTACTTACAGCTGAACGAGATCTCGGTGATCCAAAGCAACAACGGGTTACCGGGTCATTCGGTGGCTACCGGAAAGTACGCGGGCCTGTTCGGCTCGGTGTACGCGGCCGGGGCTGGATTTCCATTGGACAAGCAGCCGATGGCGCCAACGAGTAACGGGCCCCTGATCGACGGTAAATCCTCGATCCCGCCCGGGTCCATGCTCTTTCAGACGTCGTCGCCGTCGCACTCGCCTGGCACGCCGTCCTCGAACGGTAGCAATCAGAACTCGACGGGGGTATCCGCGTGGACAGGAGACGGTCTTCAGCACCATTTCGACAGGGAGCCATCGAATCGGTCCGAGAGCAACTCGACGCCACCGTCGGCTCGACTACCGCCGCCTCCTGCCGCCAGGGGCGAGGGCTTGGCCACGTGAAGTTCAACCGGTACATATCTTTCTTCGATGGGAAACCGTACTCCGCCCTGCTAGCCTCAATAAGATGGAGCTAGCCCACCGGGGCTAGACGAGAAAGGTCGTTGTCGCGGAGCCGGCAGTGCTTGAGTGCATCCAAGAGAACCGAGAGACTCGGGACCCGAAGTCCGACGACATATCCTCGTAACACCCAGAGCCAGCAGATACCATGTTCCTATTGTCACACTAGTCTTAAACGTGTTAAAGAGGACCGATGGGCCCGGCAGCTGGAGTCCCAGCGTCAGCGGGTTTACGTTCCGGTTTCCAGAACCCCCGTGACGTGGTTTCGCACGAGGGTCTGACGGGCGCGGTGCCTAGACTGAGCCGTTGGGCCGCAAGACACGTGGTGCCGCGACGTCCCGGCCCTCCGTACTCTGACCGTCCATGCGCGACAGTGATGGTCACCTCACTTAGGCTTATTTTACGTTACAAATTGTACGCAGCCCGTGCCATCTCGCTCTCCGCCGCTCCGGAAGCCGCCGCGTTACCGTCCCCCCTACCACGATACCCTTCTTCGCATGTATCAATTTATTTCGACGTCTCCGAGGTAGTATTTAGTGAAATTTCTACGCCTTTTCAAAACGAGAACAATTTCGTTGTACGGTCGACTGTAACGGGCATATTCGGTGTCCCCGTAGAGCTACATGGCACGTTCTGCGCGAGATGATATAAATATATACATAAAAAAAGAGAAAGATATATATATATATACATATATAAATATAAAATATTATATTGGTGCGAAGGGGTACGAGTGCGCAAGTTGTATACACACGCGAGTACGTGCGTCGCTTTCTTTTTCCGAAGAAGGTCGTTTTTAGAAGTTTAAAAGCGGGTCCGGCAACGCCCCTCGCTGTGATATGAGAGGAGCAGCCTGCAATCATTTAAACCAATGTACTTATACGTTGTACCATAGTATTATTATTTACACTCGATGTACAGTACGCACTGCAAATTAACTTGTCGTTCTTTTGTATAGAAAGAGACAGCCGACGTCTATTTGTGTTTTCCCCCGAACCTCGACGATTTTCAACTTCTCCTCAATCGAGCGCCAGTAATCCCTGCTGCAGAATTGAAATTCAATTCTGGTGGACAATACACCGTGATTCGTAGCATCGTTGTACGCTTAAGGAAACGAACAACTTCTCTCTCGATCCGTGCCGCACGATATTCTCCTCTCGTGGGCAAACGTCGATCTTTGTTCTCCTGACACGTGTCTTGACTCGAAGCTGAACTTTGTGCACGTGAAAGATCGCGTGGCGTCCGAAATTTTCAGAGCGGACCTGGTCCACGTTGTGAAGCAACGTGGCATCGGAGGACACTGTTACGTTAACCGTTTGATTGCCACGCTATCGTGTCGAAAAGTATTAACGCCTCGGGTCAAGATGCCAAATTAGGGTAACACGGTATCGTGTCGCTTGACACTGCTCGACCAAATTCTTGTAAACGCTCCAGGCACTCGAACGGTTTACAATGTGCGAAACCATAACGTTCGAAATTCAACGTGAACGCATATAACAAATGGACTATAGTAAACAGCATAGCCACGATTCGATCGATCCGAATGTGAAATGCTTCCACACTTTGGCAAACGAAGCTCTTAGAAACGACTGTGTAATCGCTCTGTATAATCTTTGTGTTTCGCATAGTTGTGTCCAGAAATTTCGAATTTATACATCAATTGTCGAGTAATAATATTTATTAGAAAGTTCGGTTAACACGAGTTTTATTTTCATAACTCGACTGTACAGGGTTTCTCTAATAATGGAAGACAATTTAGGAGACGATATTTTGTTACGATGTGAGATCAAAGTTATTTCTCGAGTTTTCTCTTATATCGTCGCGAAGAATTTCACCAATTATAAAGCATCCATGCGTATCTCTTTAGATAATCAAAACGATTTTACACGCTACTTAAGAAGGTTTCGTTACGCGTGACCAAGAAAGCATGCTGGTAAAGAAATTTGTGGTTGATTTATGTCGATGTCGCGAAATTTCTTCATGAAATAAGGAAATAAGAAGTGTATAAATACTAATGGATATAATTTATTGATTATTTATTATATGAAAACAGAAAAAACCAAACTGAAAAATATTCATTGGATTCGAGGATCAACGAAAACCTGCAAAATAACGCAATGAAATTGATTGTGAGCGAACAATTTCGTTTACACCGTAAATACAACAATTGAATTTCATTTAATATCGTCACGCTGTACGAAATTTTATATGCGTTCCCACAGGATCAGAAATTCAAACGTTCAAACACCGGTCACGGTGCGATTAATCACATGCATTCATACCCGAAAACTACTACATACTTATGTGTAACGGCTTTCCCGTATGTTCTCGTGTTAAACCATGAAATGCGAAGGAGATAAAGGAACTAAGCGAAGCGATATGCGTGTATAAACCTGTAAAAAGTAATGATAGCGACCATACGTATGCCCCCAGTAGGCACTTTATGTAATTTATCTGATTTTTAATTAGCCTAGGGATAAAGTTTTAAGGACACCGTCGATTGGATGATTTATTGCGTGCGAAACGAACAAGAAAGTCCGAAGCCACGATCTCGACGTCAACAATGACTTTCCGTAAATCAAAATTACTGGAAACTGTTAGAAAGATTTAGAGGATGTGCTGAATTCAAAACTTTTAACTCCAAAGAGAATCACATCGCGGGGCTCTCTAATAATGAAAATTTTAGATCAGATCCGAAAGAAGAAAATGTTGTCCCATACCTTTATAATATAAATTTGACTTTACGAATCTTATAATTAGTAAATTCAATGGTGACATGTGAGGCTATGGAGAATAACATCTGCTGCAAGCGTTACGGCAACAAATTATTTTATACAAAGAAATGACGTTAAATTGGACGCGAGTTACATCCTTATATCTCTCTCTTTAAAACTTGAATCAAAGAAACTGCATTATCGATTTAAATAATAGTCTCGCATTTAAAAGAATAAGTTTAAACGAACTTTTTAGTTGCACAGAGAGAAACCGAGACGTGTCTTGTGTATTTTTAAGCCTGTTATCTCGATTTACACAGAAACAATTAAAAATTGTCTGCGCTTCCCATACGATATCGATCAAATATTATAAATTCAATCGCAACACTCGTGACGTTAGTTTTCCTTTTTCAAATTATCATAAATCGAAAAGCATATCGATGATGTGTCCTCCGGACACGCGTCTGTTCTTAATTTGTATAAGTAACTAGCTGAAAACAGATACATATATCGTGAACAGTTAGAAAAGCGAAAACAATTGCAGCCGTATCAAAAGTATGAAAGAATTCGGTATGATTTCTAACGCGGAGAGAAAACGAAAGAGAGGAAGAAATGCATCCAATGCAACGTATTTAAATGAAAGAACTTCAAGACTATGGATGTAGTTATAGGAGGAAAATCAAAAGATTCTTGCCGATCGGAACCGGTTTGTTCATCGACAAGAGAGACGGACGATATAAATATATACATAATGCTAATGTAAATAAGAAACACGTGATAAGTGGAAATGAAAAATCGGTTAGAGAAGCCCGTGTAAATCATTAGTGTGCTACTAAAATGTTTCGTAAGATAAGTGGAACGGACGTTTACACGTTTGAAAAGTGCAGGTGTCACGTGCTTGCACAACACTGTTTTTCAAAGATGGAACGGGGGGGGACGAAAAAGCACGGCAGCTAATCCTTAATTGCAAATTCTGTGAAATTGTCCAAAACGAAGTATTGCTTTTCTGTACATATTGTATAATCCATGTATAAACACAACTCTACTAGTTGCGAAACCCATCATTGTAGTTAAATTACATTACGGATCATTATATCTATATCACTTCAACAATAAACAATTATTATGAGAATGAGTACTGTTTGCTGAATTTAAATCAACTCCTGGATCATATTATACCATTATCGCAATTTCATTTCATTTATTCTGAAGACCAATAGGTGATTTTTAAATGTTTTTCCCCATTAGTCTCGTGTATTTGTAGCATATATATGTAATTTCGAAAAATTAAATTTTCTACCTTAATTGTCAAAGCTATATAAAGATTTCTTCTGAAAAATAATTCCAAGAATTTTTTTCCTACTAAATAGATATATAAAGCACCGCAAAACGCTATTATTGTATTTTGTATTATGCTATTATATCAATGTTTCATTTTTTCGCGTAGTTCATTTTCTCTTCAAATGCTAGCAAAAAGTAGTATTTGTTTTAAATCCCTGATCTTCACTGCAATTCTCGATTCGGCTTTAACCCTATCAACTGCCGGGAAATCATTTTTTTCTGTTTTCGTAATGCATTTTATAACAGGATCACTCTTTTCAATTTACTCACAAATTTAGAAACGGAACTTCATCAATTACGAACAATTGTCACATATAAATGCTGTATTACGAAGCAGCTTATTGAATAATGAAAATCAAAACTTGAATCATAAAAATCGAATAATTAGAAAATAAAAAGTATACATTATTGAATTTTAAATATTCGTTCCCTGAAGTATCAGTTGGCGGTACCAATTACAGTCTTGATGAATTTTCAAAACCGGCTGTAGGCGATATATGTCGCTTGATGAATCGTATCTTAGCCGTAAAGTGTATATGTACAAAGCGAATTTTCAAATTCGATTTTCTCGAAAACTAAGTCCCAAACAAAAAAAGTTATTTATATTTTTATCATGTTTTTTATGAGGTGTCCAAAGTATCAATAAATAAATGATTTCATACACATCATCGTTTATTTTCGTTATTGCATCATTTGTTACAGTTGAATTGTATGGTCCGGGTCGTTAAATTGTGAATTTGATTTACCGTGATGAACCGTATTGTTCATTTTAAGACACTGGGAAGAAGACGTGATACGATTTGAACTCAAGGACAAGTGATAATATAATTAAGATTGATTGTCAAAGAGGGAGCGTTCGCCGGCTTATTTATACCTTGGTGGGCCGCCAAGGTGGATGAAGGAACAAAGAGTGTGAAAGTAACTGCCGGCTTCAAAATATGAATGATTGGAAAAATAATCCATCTAACCCATTGTCATTTGGAGTTCTTCGTCGAACGTGAACGTTCTTATCGTTAGAAATATCTTATTACATATATATATATATAATATATATAATAATAATATATATATATATAATATATATTATATATCGTCAGAAAACGCTGGCTTGGGTAACACAAGAACGCTATTATTAATTAGCTTAAACCGCACACTCGTTTTTTGATAGTTAATCGTTCTTAAACAACAGCTGTTTATTCTTAAATATTATATCAGTCCCTTTCAGTGTCTCTGTTGCAAAATTTGATACGGCTCAATGTTTCGAATAGTTCAGATGAACCTAATCTGTAATCTATAACGAGACGGAAATGAAAATTTAAGAACTGTTTAGACATAACTTTTAATGCCAGGACCACCGTCCTCCATTGATCAGCATGAATATCATCTGTAATATGACAAAAGTTAAGGTGAATGAACTATTCAAATATTTAAAAATAAATAAATTCGTTTAATTTTGTATATATACCATGTCTGAGATGTGTAGTCATAATCCTTTACTGTTCTATCCTGTTGCAATAATTTCACTAAGACAGTTTTTAAATTGTGAATGTTCCTCTTTGCCTCCTTTATCTTATAGTTTGCATCATACAATCTCTTTCTGACAGATTTATATTGTTCTATATGACATTTTTTTGATCGAATTATTGAAGAAGGATTAATTATGTTCTTAGGAAAAATTCTTGTTGACTGATGCACTATGTTAGGAACACGTTCTACATTATGTGCCGTAGCACATATTTCATTTCCTGCAGGAGGAAATTCAGCCTTGATTTTTTGTGCATATTCTACAACTTCTTTCAAAGGTAACTGAAAAGAAAAATGATTAGTTATCACAATGTAAGTACATTAAATATATTGAATATATTTCGTCTTACATTAACATGTGGGAAAGCATCTATTTTTAGTTTTCTTAATGTTGCATGTGTCTCATAGTCCTGTTCTTCAAAATGTGCAGAGCACACAGCTGCTGATTTTGGTGGACACCAATCTTTTAAACCTAATGCTTCAAGCCACTTATTTCTCCTATCAGTATCTTTTGGCAACCTTAAAATTAGAAATTATTTAAATGCACATAAATACAGATTTTTATGGAAGAATGAATTCATCTCATTTACAAAATTAACCTAGATTTTATATATTCTACTTACAAGTGGAATGAAAATTTCCCATCCTTCTCTTTTTCTTCCTGTTCCCAATTTTTTATTTCGTTAGCACTCCGATTACTGCATTGGTATACGATGCAATAACTCATTGTAAAATATAAAAATAGATACAAATATATTAACTATTATACAACACGTCCTAACGTGATTGAACGCGAGACACCATACACACTCGACTCAAGCTCAAATTCAGCTCGATGGACGCACTTTTGCGAGTTTCGTAAAAGTAGGTAAGTGGTGGTGGGAATCATAGACTGTCTTTCGTGGGGGTATATAATAATTAAACTAATAGATTGTAATATTTCCTCGACATTTATAATTTATTTAGGTATTTGATATTATTAAATTTAAATATTTTTATATAAAATTATCAAACTAATAAATAAATTATATCCGTTTCATATATACGTATTCACTCTAAGAACATTTTTATTACAAATTGAATACTCGATATGGTAGGTAACAATAATAAATGAATTAATATTTAAATAGTGACGAAAACTTCATTAACATAATTCATAAACTTAATCGATATTTAAAAATTATAAATCTGCCACAGGTGTGAATGGACCTATTCCTATACCTTGGACCTATGAATAGTATGTATATGATGGAGCAAATATGTATGTGTGTACCCCATGGACCTAAGAATACATGTATTGATGGTCAGGTCCAAGGGGTAAGGGGAGACTACATGCACTTCGACTATTTTCGTGTATACTGAGTGATTCCGAGTCAAACCGAACTTAGATCCATGGTTCCGAGTGATTCCGAGTCAGACCGAATGCAGCCAAAGTGCATGCAGCCCCTCCTTACACCGAATCTCTCTTTTCTTAAAATAGCTAAAGTGCATGTATAGTCTCCCCTTACAGCGAATCTCAACCCCCTCTCGCTCAAAGACTCCGTCCACTTATTCTTAGGCCCATAATAGAAAATGAAAGTTTTGCAGTTTCTGATACATGAGCAAAGGATTTGGCGAAAGGTCTTTATATATTGGTTGAATAATAAAATGATGATAAACATCGTGATTCCTGTAAATCGGAGCTCAGAATTAACTGCACATGACAGAGACAGAGCATTTTCAGAGACTGCTATGTACATAATATGATTTATTTGGAAGAAGAAATCAACTATGTCTGATATGGAAGAAGAATGGAAAACTAGTAAGGAAGAGGCATTAGAATATGTTTATAGATTATTACATTTATGTTTACATAGGCTCAACAATTTTGAAAATATGCAACAAAGCAAGGCAGAATCATATAAGATAAATTAATTTTTGAGGTAAGTCCAACTTATTCTTTACATTGAGGAATTATTATGACTAAAACTCGTTTATCTCTTAAAAAGATTTTAGATGTTTCAATTGAAAGATATAATTGTGCATAGTAAGAAATACACACAGGTATGTACAGAATAATCATTAATATAATATATACTCAATGATCACAAACTAATTTAGAAACAGAAATACATATTATTATATTAGATGGTTAAATTTTATAATGCATTAGCAGGGGGGATACATAGCCATTGGTGTTGTTCGCATGAATATGGCTGTAATGATTTAATGATAGAAATACGAAGGAAATTGATGAATCGAAACCATCTGAAGTTGATATTTGAAATATATTTAAATTTCTTGAAACTTGCAATTACTAAACCAGTTATAGTATTTCCTTTTTTTGGTGAAGTAATGGATTTCCTTGCTAGTGAAGTAAATTTCTTTATATTAATTATATTACAAATATGCATTTACAATTTTATATTCATTAACAGCTCTCACAGCATTACATTTTATGAGAAATTGTAGAATTAATGTTTTGAAAACTGTTGTGCAGAAATGATCTTACTGAAGAACAAAAATCTGTACATGAATATCTTAGTCGTTATATTATATCTTAGTAATTATCTTACAAATTTGCAAGACTATACATTCAAGATTATAATGCTTAGTTATTATAATTATAACGTTTATATTATGAACCTACTATTCTGCTAGCAAGGTAGGGGATACTTTTAACTGTTACAGCATTACGATCAGAAGATAAGAGTGCAAATGTGCAAAAGCAAGCATTGCAATTATAACATGCATTACTTCAAGCCAATTCTTTCGCTCCCAAGGTAAGTGAAAGTAACATTTTATTTATAGGACATTCTATTTTTGTAATATAATAACGTATTATACATAACATATCTGTCTTTTGTTATCAGTATGTGATTTGTTACAATGCATTTAATGAAATAATTATTTATATAATATAATTTCTATTTAGATTGCGGATTTTATATATGCATTTATTCTGCAGTCTAGTAATAATCTATAAACATATTCTAATGCCTCTTCTGATTTCCCCATTTATGTGACCAATAAACCAGGAAAATAAATATACCAGCATTTTAATAATATTCAATAATTTTATCTATCTTCTCCTTATAATTCATCTATGGCCTCAGATACGTTTTCCATGTCATGAACCAATATTTCAGTGATTTCATGAAACAATATTTAAAATTCATAGAAATTCATAGAAATTTTTATGTCTCATATGAAACATAATCATTTTTATCTGACACGTGACACGTTGTATAAAAACCGTTATTATAGTGGGTGATTCCACACTCCTTGAGGCCACACGGGCACTCGTCGTCATGAGAATCCTCTTCGAGAAATATTCAGTTATATAGAGCAATTTTCTAATTCGTATTTCGCGCGCCGAGCTTGGCAGAGATGTCAGGAACGTGCCACGTATTCACCTAGCCCCTCTGTATGGCACCCCTTGGACATTATGGCACCCCTCAAGATATGAATTTGAAGTATAAGATTCAGACTAGTAAGGTTTTTGGCAGAATATAATATTCTCATATGAAATAAAAATTAACTTTTTTAATTCGAATGGTTAAATAATTGTTTGGCGACCGAAATAAGGAGTTCAAGAAGAATAACACGATTCCAATGGTCAAGCACTGAGGAGCTCGGTAATATTATGGGGATGTATGGTGGCCATTGCAGTTGATGATACTGAATTAATGAAAACAACCATAAGTGAGTTTGAACATCTTAACATCTTAAAAAAGAAATTGAATGTCTTCGGACAAAAAATGAAATGTCCCTAGTATATTTTTTTCTAGAAAATAATGATCCAAAGTATTCATCGTATGTTGTCCAGAATTGTACGTTTTCCACAATCACCGGACGTTAATTTAATTGAACATCTGTGATAGGAATCGAAATCAACATTGAGTGATTTTAAATTTAGCAGTAAATCAGACACAAGAGTCAAAATCGAAATATAAAAAACTATTTCGAGTTCAGTAACAAACAAATTAGTTTCGTCGATGTCCAGACGTTTGCAGCGTTAATAAACGCACAAGATTACAGAACGAAATATTAAAATTCAGTTTAACCGTTTGATTCCCATCCCAATATTTGAAGTTTTTGTTCAACGAAAATTATATAAGAAGATAGCAATGAAATAGAAAATGTATTAGTTGCATTATTTACATTAAAAAAAAAAAATTGAGCGCACTACTTCGAGTGCACCGTTAGTTATCCATAACGTTCAAATGTCCTAGCACTTTTCGACACAAAATCTAAACAACGCGATCACGCTGCTTGGAATTCAAACGGGTAAGGACACTGAAAATTTTCGTGTTTATTTACTAGGTATATCATTTGAAATAGTAACAGACTGCGAAGCGTTCAAGAAGACGTTGTCAGAGACTTGTGTCGTTGTGCTTAGTGTCCCGACTAAAATTGCACGTTAGTATTGAGCCTGAGCCTCGAAGAATTTGTTTGCAATGTCGAGCATAGGAATGACATCTGAGTCAAGTACATCGATCAGATTCCCAGATTAGTAATAGAACATTACAATTTTTGCAGTTCTTTGAGAAGTACAATTTTTGTCGCGTACTTTAAAAAGCGACAGAGGACGCATCTCGGCCTCACGACCGACATAAAAGTGTCATCCAACTGTTGCGGCTTTTTATTAGTTTAAATGGAAGAAATGAATAAAAAAAGAAGTGCCAACAGCACGTGGTGTTCCAAAGCAGTCACCCTTCTAAGTACTAACCACGCTCGACGCTGTTTAACTTCGATGATCGGACGAGAATCGGTTCTTTAAAACGTGACATGGCCGTTGGCCAATGTAAGATTGTCTATTTTGTTCTTTTTTACTATAATCGTGGGTATTGAGTGCAGTCGTTTTGCTTGACATTACACGACCTTGACATTACATGACCCTGACATTACNTGGTGTTCCAAAGCAGTCACCCTTCTAAGTACTAACCACGCTCGACGCTGTTTAACTTCGATGATCGGACGAGAATCGGTTCTTTAAAACGTGACATGGCCGTTGGCCAATGTAAGATTGTCTATTTTGTTCTTTTTTACTATAATCGTGGGTATTGAGTGCAGTCGTTTTGCTTGACATTACACGACCTTGACATTACATGACCCTGACATTACATCTAAATTACATTAAAATTACATATTACATTACATATTACATCTAAATTACATTAAAATTACATATTACATTACATATTACATATAAATTACATTAAAATTACATATTACATTACATATTACATATAAATTACATTAAAATTACACATTACATTGTATTACATTACATTACATGACCTTGACATTGCACGACCTTGACATTAATTATGCAATTTTTCAATAACTTGAACGTATAAAAATAAAAATTGTAAATATGAAATCAGGTGTGTAGGTATAAGAATTCTACACCTGACTTTTCACTGGAAAAATATATTTTCATTATTTTAGATTGTATATATTAAAATTATATATATACATAACCTTGACATAACCTTGACATAACCTTGTATTCGTGTGGCAGTGAGCAAAAAAAAAATGCAATACAAGATCAGATCGCCCAAACTTCATGAAACATACTGTGCGACGAGGCGTTGCTACCTTGGTTGTCCAACGGGCAGCTCGTAAAGGGGGTTTCTGGTTGGACATGCGCGCGCGGCTCATAGAGGTCCTCAAGAGATTATGGACGGACGTGGCGTTGGTCGTCGCCTCTATCTGGGGGCGGCTGACTGGAAACCCGAGGAAGTCCCGGTCTCCATGCTCTCTGCTTATCAGTCCATGATTCACTGATAAGAAGAATGAGGTTATGTACACGCCAGCAAGGACGACACTTTCAACAGTTCAATTAATGTAATGTAACCAATAATAAAACTATTATCTACACATTTTCAAACTCGATTTTCTCGTAAACGAAGCTTCAAACAGAAAAATGTTATTCCTTTTTTTTCGACTTATCTTCGCACGTAGGATCACCAACTGCCCGATGGTGCTACCCGCCCGGTAACACCCTGTATAATCACAGCGATAATAGAATAAAATGAATTACACATCAAATATTAAGTAAATAAATGTAATTGGAATTATATCGCGTTTGATTTTACCTTGTTCAGAAATATTTGTCCAAACTATATCATGTTTGATCTCATTGTAACCAGAAAAATATCAGCAATATGTTAAAAAAATCTATTTCAAAATGTTCTGGGAATTCGAGTCAAAGGAGCTGCGGCGCGTGCCTCAGTTGCACCTTAGTATCGGCGTAGCGAAAAAATTGATAAATTACAGCACCGTAGCAATATCACAGTGTAAATCTCAGAATACTGAAGTTCGGCAAATCCCGGAGAAATTACTGTATTTCGAAAAATTATATCGGCAAGTCATTTACCTTGCACACACATTTCGAAATTTTTGAAACTCTTAGCTGCAGATTTAAAAGAGTCGTTCGAACAAACGAGCCATATGAATTTGCGGCATCCACGAACGAACCGTAATACAAATGAAGTATACGTAATAGTTGATCCTGACTAAGAAGCTTAAATTTCTGAAGTATCGGTAACGATGACCGTGACACGTAAATGATAATTGGGCTTTCGAAGTCCCATTTTTGGGTGACGAAAATTTTCATTGGGTGCTAGGTCTAGTCCTACACTTACGAGAAACAACGTTTATACGGATCAAGTTTGTGGCTGTGGTGTCTCGTATCTGTTTTACCGCTTGAATGCAGGCGACTGATTGCAGAGTCCTCTTATCATGGACCACAGTTAACCCTTATATCAATAACCGAATACCCGTGTACCTTTGTAGGAGAAGAGTATAGAGGGAGTATAGGAAATTCTCTAGCCAATTAATACAAATAATGTTTTACTGCGGTAATAAATATAAAATAAGTAAAAATAAACAGTAACGTGATGTAGGAGCTTATCATAGGAACACCCTGGATATAGATACAACAGTTATAGATAGAACAACGTCGTCAATATTGGTTATTGGTATAATTGAGAAACTATCTACGATAAACATAAATTTTCTTTCTTGCGTAGGAATTTATTAACGACGAAATTAGCTGCAAAAGAATTCCTAATACAAGAGGTTACCCCAGTTATAGATAGAACAACGTCAACAATATTGGTTATTGGTATAATTCAGAAACTATCTATTGAAGTATTCACTGTTATCGGTATTTGATAATTACAATTAACATAAATATACGATAAACATAAATTTTCTTTCTTGCGTAGGAATTTATTAACGAGGAAATTAGCTGCAAAAGAATTCCTAATACAAGAGGTTACCCCAGTTATAGATAGAACAACGTCAACAATATTGGTTATTGGTATAATTCAGAAACTATCTATTGAAGTATTCACTGTTATCGGTATTTGATAATTACAATTAACATAAATATACGATAAACATAAATTTTCTTTCTTGCGTAGGAATTTATTAACGACGAAATTAGCTGCAAAAGAATTCCTAATACAAGAGGTTACCCCAGTTATAGATAGAACAACGTCAACAATATTGGTTATTGGTATAATTCAGAAACTATCTATTGAAGTATTCACTGTTATCGGTATTTGATAATTACAATTAACATAAATATACGATAAACATAAATTTTCTTTCTTGCGTAGGAATTTATTAACGAGGAAATTAGCTGCGAAAGAATTCCTAATATAAGAGGTTAATAGACAATAGGTGATAAATTAATAGATAACCGTACTCTGATGCAAAATAGGTTGAAAGTTACTGAATATTTGGAATATTTATTAACGACGAAATTTTAGCTGCAAAAGAATTCCTAATACAAGAGGTTAATAGTCAATAGGTGATAAATTAATAGATAACCGATACTCCGATGCAAAATAGGTTGAAAGTTATTGAATATTTGGAATAGGTAAAAAATTTACTGCTCACTAAACTATTCAGACGCCGTTTAATACGGAATAACTTTTTTTAAAAATTGGACTAAATATCTTGAATTTTTGTCGGATATTGGAGGAACTGGTTGACTAAACAATGTCTAAATAAATTTTTGATAAAATTGCAATTGTATGGAACGAAAAAAGAAATTATGCTTTTAACTTTTTTATTAGTGCCTAGAACTAAAATTTAAATGTTGAATATAGATACAAGCTACGTGATTTTTTTCACAAGCGATCTTTTTACAGTGATTGATCGACAACCGTGGCAGACTGCAATTTTCACAATTTTTAATCGTTCCTATCATATTCGTTCCTATATATCTATGCATATTTTCAGTTGCAGAAGCCTAAGTAAACGCATTGTTTAAATATTCTTTCTGAACTCAGACAAAGAAATTAAGAAACATCATCTTTTTATATTTTTTTTATCATTCCAATCAGTTTCAATTCTTTCAAAAATTTGTTTAAACATTGCCTAGTAAACTAATTCCTCTAACATCTCAACAAAATTTTGATCCATTTTTTAAACATTTATACCGTTTTAACCCTTGGCGCGGACGAATTTCGACATATTGCGTCAATACCATTGACGACACCAGGACTTATATCTTACTCCAGAAGTTACAAGCGTACAATTGGCTCATATACATAACAAAGAAATTCAGTGGAAAATATTCTTGGCACATTGTTGCAACTTTGTAAAGAACCTCGAAGAGTATTCACGCCGGTTTAAAATGGAACTTACACATACACAAGTGTGTGACCGCCATTATTACGTATACTGATGTCATACAATTGCTGGAATGATCGATTAAGAAAGCACTGAATGATGCACTCAGACGGTTTCAAACGTTATAAACGTTCTTTCTTGCTTGTTTAAATGCACCTTCAAGCCTATTTCAATAATAAGAATTTTCGGAAGCGGGCGAGGTCAGTAGGGTGGTAGCGTGTCGGCTATCGCAACCCTTGTTTTATTTTAATCCGGTCGACCGTAATAAGAAATGTCACGAGTTCAAGTGAAACACGTATGTATCATATTAAATCCTCGAAATAAATTAATTTGATAATTGCAGTTCAGAGACAAATTATTTCATGTTGACAGAGCCATTTGAAGTTGAAAAAGTACTTTCGTTCTTCCGCTATCGTACATGACGAGGTAACATATTTGAAAAGACTAACTAAGGATGCTGAAATTTGATATTTTACGCTCTATTAAAATTAGCTCAGAACGATTTTTACACAATTTGTTATTGCGATTCAATATCAGCAACTTCGCGACAAAAACTTAGTTTTAATTTTGCACACGAGTTTAATTAAGATGATAAATATCATTGAAATCTCGAAAAATGTAACCTTTGAAAAAGAAACGAGTTCCACCATAACATGTGTTCCTTGATATCATTACCGATATCGGAGATATCGCTTTGTAACAGAGTTACCGAGACACCCTGTGCATAAGTTACCGAGATCTACAAAATGCATTTTCTAAATTTCCATTATAGGCTCAAATAAAAATGATGAAAAAACATCGTATCTTAACCTTTTCATCATTGCAACCAATTGAATTTCTAAAAACAATTTCATGATCATTGTCTAGCAAATTTAGTTGGTTACTCCGTTTTAAACGGTATTCGAATGCTTCTTACACCGACTGTATATGTATAACCTTGTCGAGATTCTTGATCTGTCCATTGACTTGTGTCGACTACAATAATATTATTTAGAATGCCATGCAATATCACTCAAGATATGGCTAATTGTTTACAACAAATGACAAATTCATAAACAATATAACGATTAAATATT